CTATCTATCTCTCTCTTCTTCTCTCTCTCTCTCTCTCTCCTCTCTCTCTCTCTCTCTCTCTCTCTCTCTCTCTCTCTCTCTCTCTCTTCTCTCTCTCTCTCTCTCTCTTCTCTCTCTCTCTCTCTCTCTCTTCTCTCTCTCTCTCTCTCTCTCTCTCTCTCTCTCTCTCTTCTCTCTCTCTCTCTCTCTCTCTCTCTCTCTCTCTCTCTCTCTCTCTCTCTCTCTCTCTCTCTCTCTCTCTCTCTCTCTCTCCTCTCTCTATCTCTCTCTCCTCTCTCTATCTCTCTCTCTCTCTCTCTCTCTCTCTCCCTATGCTCCTCTCTCTCTCTATTCTCTCCTCTCTCTCGTCTCTCTTCTCTCTCTCTCTCTCTTCTCTCTCTCTCTCTCTCTCTTCTCTCTCTCTCTCTCTCTTTCTCTCTCTCTCTCTCTCTCTCTCTCTCTCTCTCTCTCTCTCTCTCTCTCTCTTCTCTCTCTCTCTCTCCTCTCTCTCTCTCTCTCCTCTCTCTCTCGCTCTCTCTTCTCTCGTCTCTCCTCTCTCATCTCATCTCTTCTCATCTCTCTTCTCTCCCCCTCTCCTCGTCCTCTACCTCTCCCTCTCTCCTCTCCCCCTCTCCCTCTCTCTCTCCCTCTACCCTTCTACCTCTCACCTCTCCCTCATCCCTCTCCCCTCTCCCTCTCTCCCTTACCTTTTCCCTCTCTCCCTTCTCTCCTCTTCACTCTATCCCTATATCCCCTTGCTGTCTCCTCTCTCTCCTCCCTTCCTCCCTTCCTGCCCTCCGTGTGCTTACCTCTCGTAGCTCTGTCTCCAGCCGCTGCAGGGCGGCGATTACTTCCTGAATTCGCCGCTCGGTAGCTGTAGCGCTCTCGTCGCTGGCGGCCAGCATGTCACGGGACACCTGTGGACATACGAGTGAAATTATATATCCGCAATAGTTTCGGCAGCCCCGAAGGCGGATCCATCTGCCAGAGAGCGATGACTACCACCCAAAGACAGCGGTGGAAAATGAAGTCGGACGTGAAGTGTTTCGCGGACGCGGAACGTCCGTGTGGGGGGCGATAACAACATGGAAAATGTTTCCCGTTCACCAGAATGGGCAATTTGTCTGTACCACGCCAGCAGCGTCAGAACATCAACAGCGCAATGAAAGTAAGAACAAGCCCTCCAGAAGGAACAGGTGCCTGTCAAGAAAGTGGTTCGCCCGCTCCTGATCGTTTTGTGGCCTTGCTCTTCACTTGTCGACGCCACTACTGATACGGCGACACGACCGCTATTATTGTCATCATCGACCATCGATGACCAGCCATCCACCAGCCACCAGGCGTCGGATATCGCACAGAATAACGACTCAGCACCAATACACCCAAAAACGTATGTTGTATCATTTACGTAAATGTAATATGTAAATCATGAGTTATGCGCTGTATCCCTGGTGCGAAAAGTCCCTCAGTATCTGTATATATATATATATATATATATATATATATATATTGATGTGCGTCCGCACGCGCGTGCGTGTATGGACATGCGCGTATGTGCGCACGCGAGTGCGCATATACGCGCGTGTGTGCGTATATCGTGCGTGCGTGTGCGCGTTTGATGAAACAGCACGTTACTTCAAAAGGCCCTGCAGTGGGGCTTGAAAGTTCGGAGCGGCTTTTAAAACGCATCATGTTTAAATTTAGAGGGCGCGTAACATGAGTTTACCTTATGAAATTAGCGCTCCTCATTAAAAACTTCCATCGCATAATAAGGCCTGTCGAATGGCGTCAACATCAGGGACAGCTTAAAGTGTTGCAAGCGGTAATTTATTACGTGTACTATCATGACGTACACGAAGTGGCGAACGCATGAAAAATGTTTGCTAGCCGTCAAAGCTAAAATTGTTTCAATGGGTTCCAAGCTTAACACGCGCACATCGACGCCCTCATATGCACTTTATTACGCAAACACTTCCCTATTTTCCCTGATGGAGAAAACAATGAAGAATGGGAGCTGGCCACTGAAAACTGGAAAATGACGGCAGGAAAACTCTTGCTTATAATCTACAGCATGCACATAGTGTCATAACTTGCCAGGAGCCCGGCCAGCTTAAAGCCTTCAATAAATTGGTGTGAGCATGCATGTACATGCCATCCAACCGACATAAACCGAAGCTGACTGCAGTCTCATAGAAGGAAGCTGCCTACCATCCATCTTCCCCTCCCCCTTCAAAGTCCTGTTTGCACGCGTTGGCCGGCTATGAGCACCGCCCCGAACTTTCCGAACGGCTTTTTGCGATGGCCGAGCCCACGTCGGCGTCTGGCAGAGACGCCGTCTCTACTCCGCCTCGTCCGCGAAGCCAAGCCAACCGGCGACCCGGCGGGGAGAGGTGCTTCCGCCGGCACCTCGGCGTCAGCAGGTCCTAACCCGGCGGCGGGAGGTGCCTCCGCTAGCGCTCCGGCGTCAGCAGGTCCTAACCCGGCGGAGGGAGGTGCCTCCGCTAGCGCTCCGGAGTCAGCAGGTCCTAACCCAGCGGAGGGAGTTGTCTCCTCTGTGTCTCCTCCAGCGCTCCGGCGTCAGCAGGTCCTAACCCAGCGGTGGGAGGTGCCTCCGCCAGCGCTCCGGCGTCAGCGGGCCCCAGCCCGAGTGGCGGTGCCCCAGTGTGGGGTTGGGCCGATTGTCCGCGACGACCGTCGCACATCGCGCTCATTTCCCCGGGGCGTCGGCGACAGACGGCGCCGATTAGCGCGCCACCTCCGCTGTGAAGATGTGGGCCGCTGCCCGTCACGCCGGCCGACAATGGTGGCGGCGGCGGCGTGCGGGCGGGAATGGAATAGGCGAGGACTGCGCTCAGCTGTTGTTCCAAAACGCTAGCGGTGCACTGACGACGATGTGTCTTGGCACCTACCGCTGATGATCTTGAAAGGTGGAAAGATGAAAGGCCTTTGCCATAAGCTTTTGTGTGATCAAGCCATGCACCATGCGTTGTATCATGTGCCATAAGCCATAAGCCATATGATTCGCACTTGCTGGGCCATGATATATAACTCAGCTATCCCTTCTAATTGCTGAGGATTCCGGCCTGTCATACGTGCCCGGCTTTGCGCTGGTATCACCAAATATTGGAGTTATATAGTCGACGGGTGATAATTGATGTCTATGGTATATTTACCAAGGGTAAAAACGAACAGGGACAGTGCACTTCCCGACGCCATGTCGTTACTGTGATGAAAAAATTCCATGGTTTGATGATAAATATCTCTAACGAGCAGTGCCCGCACTCCGTGACTGCCCGCTTTGCTGCGCTGTTCAATGGTGACGAATCCCTTACACTTGACTGTCAACCAGTCGCCTGTCCCGTTTTCCTCCAAAGTACAGCAGCCGTCGGACATGTTGGCGTCCCTCGCACCGCCTTCTCCCGACCCGCAGGCACTCTCCACCTCTCACCCTCGCACGGCGGCGCGCGATGGTGAGATCGCTCATCACAAGTGAGCAGACCCATCGCAGACCGCCACTGCCGGCGTGCGAGCTCTCGGCTGGCGGCCGGGCCGCCGGGGGACCGGGCTGGTCACGGCTCGAACACACTGATCACGTTCGGGTCCCGGCCAACCCTGTCCGCCGGCCATGAATACCAACCGGTGCGCCGACCGCTGCCGCATGGTAATGGCTCGGCTCGGTACGGCGCCGGCTCACGGGCGGCGAGACAGAGAGCTCGCGAGCACCATACTGCACGCGTGAGCGGACGCTGTACCGCGGCGACACCACGGTCAGGCAGACCCGGGCCACCTGGGCCAGTTTCCTTCTCCGGTCTTGTTCTCCCCTTCAACAGACGCGGACACATACACAGCACGCACAGGGTTTTTGGATTTCCTTGTAGTCGACCGATGACATGCAGCCTTTGAGCATGTGGAGCAGCGTGATCGCCCAGATACCGCAGGCTGGCGCAACAGCGGCCAAAGCAGCTCGGTGACTAGTGGGAGCTGGTCATCGAGCTGCTCAGAGAACTAGTCGAGTTGCTCAGAGAACTAGCCATCGAGCTGCTCAGAGAACTGGTCATCTCGATGACCACCACTTTCTCCGGCAATGATCACTAACCTATGCGATTTATTGATAGCCATAGCTATCTTTTCCCCTGATGGCCATGTGTTACCTTTTCACTTTACCGCCGAGCGGCACACAACCCCGGCGAGAAAAACATCCGGCGGTCGGAATCAAACCCCGGACCTCCATCGCACAGGAAGCGCTCGCGACCGACCCACCTCTTGCAGGATGCGGTCGATCAGGTGACGCAGGCGGGTGGACTCGCAGCGCTGCTCCTCGGCGCGGTCCTGGTTCCGCTGGGTGAACTCGCGCCACTCCTCCAGCGTCGACTGGCTGCAGCGAATGGAGCGGCGGCGTCACGACCACAACAAGAGGCGATGCCGGCGCTCTGCCGTGGGTCCCGGGCTCGAATCTCGGCTGACCCGCAGGCCACTTATTGATGAGCTTCTGATGAGCGAGGAGCGTTATGCGCTCGAAGCCATGATTGGGTTTGCTTTTCGAAAGTGTCCATGCCTCAGCCATTTTACGAGTCGCGAAATCAAGGAAGTGTTTCACACGTGTGGGTTTAAGCTGGCGTGACCGCCGGCAGTCGATGTGGCAAGATATGCAAGAGTAACGCATCGCTGGTCCCACATAACCCTGGGTCCTTGCGTTGGATACGACTAGTCCTGAGTTGAACTTGGTCATCACATAGGGATGACCTCACGTTATTTGATGTGGACTTCTGGAATGCATGGGGAGGCGAAGGCAATCATTCGCCTTCGCTCGACTTTATATACGCAAAGACTGTGTTTTTCTTGTGTACCACCCTAGTCATAATCAAGCTACGCTCGGGTATATGGTTCATTTATGATGACATCTCCCTCAAGTACGCTGCGATGCAGCGTCACCAAACTTGCCAAACCACGTCACGTGCTGCATGACGCAAATGGGTTGCCTTCTACCAAGATTCTATTTCGAACAGGTTTTAGGAAAAGGGGTAGTAATTGCCACAGCAATCTGGCAGTGGTGCGTTACAAGTTGCTGAACACCATGAAATATCCCATTAATGTGGGTCTCAAAACAGGGCCTGTGCCCACTAACAAGATCTTTGTGATATACGCTTTTCCATACCCTTTTCCATACCCTTTTCCATACCCTTGTCCCGTTCCTCAGTCCACCCAACGATCTGCCTCTTTGACACGCGTCGCGTCAGATGCAGCAATAGTCTCCGCAAGGTGCGGTCCGTGCGTGGCAGCTGCACAAACATATACTAACGGCAGGGGAAAACCACCACACGCACGCCCACACTCTCACAGCGTCATTTGCACACGCATGGCAAGACCGCACATGAGGCGGCTCACCAAACCTGTGGCACCTGGAGCAGGCATCGCCAGGCGCTGTTTCGGGCCTAGCGGCCCGCAGCCTGGCATGGAACCCGGCGGCTGGGCGGCGGCCACCGATGGCCACCGCCGCCGCTGAGGGCCGCTCGGACCGACGGCGAGCAGCGAGCGCGGAGGCGCCGGCCACGAGCGATCAGCACAACATATGACCAGTGTACGAAAAGCAATGGATGCACTGATGCGAGCAAAAAAAGGCGCATT